GAAAATTCTTTGTATTTTGTTCAAGATCAAATTGTATGTCTACAATCTTGTACACCGATTTAAAGATTTAGAAAAAAGGCATTTGGCAAATAAGTCAGTGTACCATCGTTTTGAACATTAAAAAAATAAAAAAATATTTTTTTTACTTTATTATATATGTACAACAATGTCCTTAAAATAATTTTTTAATAAAGTTGTCTGTTATAATTTTAATAAAGTTGTCTGTTTACCCAGAAAAAATTCCAAACTTAGATATCATTTTAGGACTTAAGCAAAAATTCAAAACAACTTACAGTTAATTGATCAGCATCCCACTCTTCCTCGTCGTATGTCGTCAATTGCAACACCCGAATAATTTCATTCAATTCATCGGACATTCTTCCAGACAAGTAATTACGATTCTCTGCTGCCTCGTCCGCACCTTTCCCACCTTGTGAAATAATATGGATAAAAATCTTCATGGAACAGATTAGAATTGGAGCGAGTGTTTTCACCTGCAAGTGTATTAAACGTTAGTATCTCGAGTTATTGAATGCACCCTCTCATTCCACATTACAGTGGCACATAAATCTATATTGTAGAATCATTTGTGTAAAAACTGGACAAAAATATCTAAATATAACTTTTAACACACACTCACTTGCTCTAAGCAGCGCACCAATATCTCCCGATGTACTTGATGCGTCAACTCCTTTTCACGAGCGCTCACTTCTCTTGACACTTTGCTCAGGCACGGGCTTAAATTCTTAAGAAAATGTACAAGATCTTCCATTGTCTCGATAACTTCGGTGACAGCCAAATAATCTAGTACACGTTTGCATTCTCGTATAATTTTTCGTACTTCGCTTTCGTCAAAGCAGAGAAGTAAGGAGCTTGTGCCTTGCAAAATACCGCGTGAGCCTTCTATAAGTTTTTTTCTAAAAAAAAACAAAGACGATACAAACTTATAGTATTCGCAAGAATTTAGTTTCATGTAAAAGTTTCGAAAAATTCTACCTAGCAGGTCCAGAATATGGATCCTCCTTCAACATTGCCGATGCTTCCTCCAAAAGACGGGAAGCACCTTCAACACGTTGCAACGCTGCTGGCATGTCTTGCTTAAGTAAAGCATCATCAGATGAGTTTATCGTTTCTTTTCCAACCTACAAATTAAAATAGATGTAAGACAATACAATAAAATAAGAAAATAAAGTGACACATATTTACTTATTATACATACAATATGTATACACATATATTTAACTGTATGAAATAAATATTTAAATATTGAAAATATTTAATATATTAACAATATTATTTTCAATATTTAAATATTTACTTTCTACAGCTTCAATATAAATATAAATACTTACTTTTACAAGATTAGTAACAGCCATGCTAACAGCCTGTACAGGCCTTCCCAAATCTGGCATTGCATTTCCATCTTCAGCTTCTTCATGTAAAATAACAAGTCTTGATACCTATAGAAAACATAATAATTATTTAATAACACAGTTATGAATAAATATTAATCTACACATAAATACAAATATGTTGATACAAATATAAAAAATACAAATTTATTAATTTATATATAATTATATATATTATTATATATAATTATTTATTAAATTATATATAATTTATATATAAGTTTATAAATTTATATTATATAATATTAAACAATATTGATATAAATATTAATATAAAAAATAAATTTATATGAATAAAACTGCATAAATCCATATAGTTAATATTTATTGAAAATATTCATAATAAATACTTTCTGCAATTGTATATTATTGATAGTTTTAGTTTCTCTTCAAAGTTCTTCTAATTTTAGTTTAGTTATAATTTGGTTGTGTGTGTGTGTGTGTGTGTGATAAAACAAAAGCTTTTTAATTAAAAATCTTGATCAATAATTGAAATAATATAATTATATGAAAACAGTAACAGTAATGCAGTAGTATTTGCATGTATATGTTTGTGATTTTGTAATATGTGTTATATGTGTAATATGTTTTGTAATATGTATCATATATAATTTTTTATATATGTATTTGCTACATAAAATTATTATCATTAAGATATTAATATAAGATATTAACTTTTTTAACGAAATATCTTAGCCTTGATAATTAACTAAGAGATTAAAGATTTGCTTCCAACTTACATAATACTCGTGATTATATTATATTATATTATATTATATTATATTATATTATATAATCAGAATAAAATTAGAAACTTTATTTGTTCAGTTATTTCGTTATGTCATAAAAGAAATCTTAAGTACTACAAAATTATAAACAATAAGAAACTCATTTATTATAAAAATGCTGTTTATTATAAAAGTATGTGCATATTTAAATTTAGATTGTATATTTAAAATATTTGAAATATTGATATTTGAAATATGAAACGTGAGTTGGTTCATTAATATTCTAATATGCAGGAACGCGTGGGATGACGTATGACATAATATGCCACTAACATGTCCTTATATGGACAGGTGGAATTAGCAATACACAGGGAAGATTTTCCTCTCGGCCAAAGAGATTAAATTTCATTTTAGAAACAGTGCGATATGTCTGAAAGATGGATATAGCAGTCCTGTTCTATATACAGGGTATGATGTCACAGTTCTATAAAAAGCATCTTTAGATGAGACAACGGGGTTACACACTCTGTAAATGCGGCTTGTGTCAAAATATACGAGCTCGTATGCCGTCTTCTGCTTGATGGAAGCGCTAAATTTCTATTAAATTTTTTTTTTTATTACCGATATCAAATAACTTTTGCAGCGAGGAAATAATTGAGGAGCGTATTAAGACGGATATGATAAGCGTTAAGTTAGAAGTGCAAGTTACACAGGTGGACGTTTATATTTGTAGCGTATGCATTTGTTCATTTAACGAGAATCGTGCCACTTTTCGAATATCTGCATCTCTTTTTATTTCGGAGTTTTCGCGATAAATCAAATTAGTGTGTTCCTCGAAATTCCGATAAATCAATTTAATATATTCCTCGGAGATTCCGATGAATTTACTTCTCGACGAGATAATTCGGCGAATTTCGACTGCAATGGTAACAAAAGGGAGTCCTCCGACTCGCTTTAAATTACCTGCTGAGCCACCGGCTCGAGAATACTCTCGATGGTCTTGGTATGGAAGACAGGCATTTTTACTCGATTCTTAGATCACCGTGGCGAGAGAGTGACGAGAAGAGAAAGAAAGACAAGTTCCTTATTACTCGCACGATACAAGATACACGAGTTTAGCCCGATTCGCTAAGATTGTCAAATGACACCCATTCCCGGTTCCGTACAATCCGTCTTGAACTGTTCACCCCACACGGTCTCGAATGATTTTGACCACTTTCGAGCGCCAGACCCCAGTCACGATCAGTCACGATTGCCGTGGCCTGTGGCACTAGACGCACTAGTGGCCTCCGTGGCTTTCCACGGGTAAGCGCGACTCTCTGTCTGCTGTCGGCATCTTTGATGTTACGGCCAAAAGAGAGTGCGCATGCGCAAAATAAGTAACGCTCACTGTAAATTTCGCTCTCACATTCCCCCCTCCCTCTCACTCTCTTGCTCCATTTTTCTCTTTCTTTCGTTCGTCTATCTATAAATATCTACAGGCAGGGTTGGGTAAGTTAATATATATTTTTTAACTAAGTTAAGTTAAAGTTAATAGTCTAAAAATTTAACTTATAAGTTAAGATACAAGTTACTCCATAATAAAATTAATTGAGTTAAAAGTTAAGTTAATAAAAGAAATTGAAAAGTTAAAGTTAAATTTTTTCATTTTATAATTTTAGGGTTTCTAAATAAAGTTTCTAAATAAAGTATATATTTGTTATATTTATTCCTATCGAGCTGCGGAAAGAGGACCGATTTCGAAGGACTTCTTCCAACGTGATTAATTAATGCATAGAAGGTCCGCGAACAGTGATTCCTTCCCGCGGTCAGACTATATTTATTATATCATTACAATTGCCTTGATGTGTGTTCTCAAATTTGAATTTGAAGACACTAACTTACAATTAGACATGTATTTTATTTTGGGTTTACAAGAAGCACTAAAAATGTAACTTCAAGAGAGTTAGATCAAAAATTACCGATAAAATGTAACTAAATTAAGTTAAAAGTTAAGAGCCTAAATTGTAACTAAGTTAAAATTATTTAACTTTTTAACTTAACTTTTATCTTTTTAACCTTTTTAACTAGCTTTTAACTTTTAATTTTTATCTTTTTAACTAGCCACTACCCAACCCTGTTCGAAATACAAAATACAAAATACAATTACACAGAACCTTGATAACTCGAATCTCAAGGGAGGAGCTATAAAAATCTTCGAGTTATAGAAGTTTCGACTTATCAAAATTTGACTAAAAAAGAATTGACATGAAAATTCGACTTACGAAAGCTTTGTACGAGAGTTTATAATTTTCCAATTATAATTTTAAAGGCTTTTAAAGAAAAAAATTCGATTGGTTTTCGAGTTATAGAGGTTCAACTGTACATACTAACAATCTTAGTACTTGAATTACAAAAAAATAAAATATATACTTCCAATCTTTCGATTTGAAATACAAAATACTTTGTAATTTAATCTGTTAATTATGATAATATAAAATGTTAAACTCCCCCCTCCCCCTGCCACCTTCCAATTGTCACCTCGCCACTTTTAAAGAAAGAAAGAAAAGTTGTTTTTCTCTCTTGCACTTGATTTATCACGTCTTTTTTCTCCTTTTTTTCAACATCTTACACATTCATTCCAAATGTAAAAAGTTTAGCACAATGCAACTACAATAAATCTCTAGTACAATAATTTGCACTAATTCGATTTGGAGTAATATTTCATATAATAATAAATATAATACAAAACAAATAAAATATTACAACTTTATATTATATATATAGCATATACATAATATACAAATATTACATACATATTTATTGTACTGATAGACAGGTTTTTTTTACATATGTATGTACGCAAATGTAGTACGCATATGTATGTATATATTCTAGTTTTCCAGCGCTATTATTTAATGATAAGTCAATTTAGATTTTTCTTTAACAAAAAATTGAGTAGTTATCATTTATCATAGTTTCTTTCAATATTATTGTAAAGTTAGATAATTCTTTACGTAAAACAGTAAGTAGTCTCATAGGAAATACATTTTACCTGAAATTAAAATAGTAATATAATTATAAATTGCGTTACATATTACTACAAAGAACTATAAAATATTTTTATATATGTAAAGAATAAATTTATATATAATTTATTTGATTCCCTGAAGTGTAACTCGCAAACAAATCTTTTGATTGCTTATAATTTAAAATTATTAGTATTACAATTCCTGAGAAATTTATTCTTAAAATAATAAAAAAATTTATCGTTGAAAAATAATAACGCTTATTAAAAAATGTTTACGCTTATTATTTTTCAATAAATTTTTTTATTATTTTAAGAATAAATTTCTTAGGAATTGCATTTTTAGGAATATATGTATATATATAGGTATATATATATATATATATATATATAAAATGTATATATACATACATACACACATGCATATATGCGTATTTTATTTTTTATGCTCATTTTTCAACAATAAATTTACACACACACACACACACACAAAAATAGATCTACAAAATTTTGTATCATTTATACCTTTTTGATCTCTTATTTTCTTTTTTTCATTTTTTTAAATTCGCTTTGCTGTACAGCAGCTTCACCAAAAATTTCATTCACTTTATGTTTGCGTTCGGTATCGTTCTTAATTTGCTGCTTAATTTGTACTTTAGCTAAGAAGTCACGATCTTTTCTTATTTCACGAATTGCTCCCTTGTGTTCCCTCTTATATTTATGTAGTAATTTTTCTCTTTCTGCTTTTTCCTTTGACATGGATTTATGTCGTTTTCCATCATATCTATAAAAAAATAATATTTAAACTTGTTATATACAGAGTATTCATAAAGTCGGATCTCCCCTCTATCTCAGAAAATAAAATAAAATTTCCTAAAAATTTTGTATTTAAAGTTTTTTTATCCAGTTAGTATTTTCTGAGATAGAAGGGGGGTCCGATACTTTATGAACACCCTGTATACATGTACACAAAAAATATATGAAATAAATTAGATAAGACATATAATAATTACATTGTCATTATTTTTGGCTCATATGTTTTTAAAGATTTCGGCCTTTTCTTTTCAAGCACAATGTATTCTAATTTCTTATTTCGTAGACGTTCAAGTTCCTCACATAGTTCTTTTATATAATCTCTTACGTGTGATGGATATTGTTTAAAGTTATTTATATTTAATAACTGAAAAACGTGTTCAAATATTGGATATACTGCTTCTAATTCTTGAAGTTGGTTCTTAAATTCAGTAAGCAAATTGATTGCAGTCAATAAAGCTCTTGTTCTAAATTCATCATCTAATTCCTCATGGAGTAAATCACTTGCGAACATGTGTGCGTTGTTTGGATCAATTGTATTTTCGGTTTTATTGATCACTAGAGCTTTACATGCAGTTTTAAATGGTGGAATAATTTTTATTGTTCGTGTCATATCCGCAGGCGTTGCTATATAGATAATGCCTCGCAAAAAATTAATTACAGACGGTGCAAATCGCTTGCTTAATATCGTAAACTAAAATAAAAAAAAGATTAAAATAGTATGCATTGTCTCAATTTAATGTTGTAATATAAAATGTAAATAAAATTGAGTATACTCACTTCTAAAATAAGAGTGCATATAAAAAGACCTTTTGAAATATCACTTCGATATTTTTTGATACGAGCTTTCAATAATATTTGTGACATAAATATTAAACAAGGCGTAACAACAGGATGTCTGAAGTCAGATGTTGGAAATAATAAGGATACCAATTTAAAGAATATAAGCTGAAAAATAATATATAAATCTTATATATACATATATTCATAAAAGTTATTATGTATAATATATTGTATTATGTATAATATATATTATAATATATTGTATTATGTATAATATATATTATAATTACACACGCACACGCACACGCACACACACAAAATAAATTTTATATGAATGAATGTAAACGATTTGTGTATATATTTGTGTGTGTGTGTGTGTGTGTGTGTGTGTGTGTGTGTGTGTGTGTGTGTGTGTGTGTGGTGTGTGTACATATGTGCATTATATTCACACTTTTACTTAACAATATTTTCTAACGAGCAGACGTTTTATATTTTTTAATATTTTTAATATTTATTGCATTATATTAAATAAATATTTAAAAAAACATTGTCTGCTGGTTGAATTCTATTATGATAAATTTTATATTATAATAAATTATAATAAATATTACATTATATTGTACCCATCTGTAATTTGGAAACAAGATCAGATAGAACAAATGTCTTTATAAATTTAACTTTAAGTTAAGAAATTAAGGCTCCCATAAATAAATCATATAATAACTAAATAGTGCCCATGCATAGACATTATTTAGTTATTAAAATGTATTTATGTTAACATTTTGTATTATTTTTGTATCCTGAATTAATTTCCGAAGTATTCATATGTTATAAGATGTCCTATATGATACTATATGTATGTTTTTCTCTCTTCTTTTAACTAATTATGTTATATAAAGTTTTAAATATTACATAAATATAAAATATCCTATATGATACTATATATTTTTCTCTCTTCTTTTAACTATATTATGTTATATCAAGTTTTAAATATTACATAAATATTATATGTATAAATGTACACTAGAATATATCATAGACTGTTAATTAAAAATTTATTTTATTTAGAAATTGCAATCTATATCCAGCTTCTAAATACCAATATTAAAGTATATATACAAAATATATATCATATATTTGCTAATAAAAAAGTACAGTTAATTGAAAATGTCTTATATATAGCTGGTGATAAAAATATGGTCAATGTTGAAATAAAAATGAACTTATTACATTAAAAGACAAATTACAATTAGTTCCCTTTAAAATATTCCCCCTCGCTTCTAATACACTTACGCCATCATTGCCACTTGCTAAAGCAGTACTGGAAGTCCTCTTTCATAAGTGCCTTTAGTTATGCTGTCGTGGCTGCCTTTATATCTCGAATTGATTTTGAATTAAACTCTCAATATTATAAAAACTTAGAGCATTTAAGGACGATGTACGTAGAAAGACCTGAGAAATGGGCAGTTTTATCCTCCATCATGATAATGCTCCGTATCTTGTGACCAGTATTCCAGTCACTGCTTTAGCAAATGACGAGAGCAATGAGATAAGTGTATTAGAAACGAGGGAGAATATTTTGAATACGACTAATTGTAATTTGTAATTTTTTAAATGTAATGTTTCTTTTTTATTTCAACATTCACCGTATTTTTCGATCACACCTCGTATAATCTTACCGTGTCCATGTCAGGATATTTTGTCTTATTTTTTTCAAATTCATTATGTTTCTCTTTGATCACTTCTTGTATACAGGTTTGAGCATTTTCTGGGTTCATATGTGCTAAATCATAAAGATAAGGAGACAACCTAAAATAAAAATTACACATAAATAATAAGTACGCCATAACATATAATATGTATTAGTATAACATTAATATGTATATATATATATATATAAATCATTTATACCTATCAAAGGTTTGAAAACATTTAACTAAATCATCAGCACTTTCTGTGGAAGCACAGTTGTTTATATATTGTAGTAAATATACAAACAAATTTGACATTTTTTCTCTATTTTTGCTATCTAATGTCCAATGATTACATTTTATAATACGATCTATGATCACTGATTGATAATCTGCACTATAATGTTTCAACAATTTTTCTAATTCTTCAAAATTCTCTGGAGCATTATATGTGTAAGATAATTCGTTTCGTGCTTTTTCCATAATCTCTTTTCGCTTCAAGAGATCGTTTCTGATCTCCTGCTTCTTGTCAGATGAATCCTGTACATGTGTATTATTATTTTGTTTTAATATTGACTTAGGACAAATCTTATCCAATTGATTTATCTGTTTAATATTTTTTGTTAGATTACTAATAAACGTAACGTGTTTTTCACTTTTATTTGTAAACATAACTTGTGTCTCATTTTCATTTTCACTAGATGATTCAGACATCTTTAAATCTGAAAGATCATCTTCAGATTCTTCATCATCTGAATTTTCAATCTCTGAATCTTTGTCATTCAATTCTGTATCAGAGTTATCTCCGGCATCAGATTCTGAATATATTCCTTGCTGATTTTCGCTATTATCCTTTCTTGTTTTTGTATTTTTAACTATTTTATCAGCAGTATCTACCAATTTATTTTCTTTCTGTTTATCATTATTATCATCATTATCTTCATCGCTACTTTCTTCATTATTTATATTGGTATTAATAGCAATTGAATGATCAGTGTCATCATTATTTTCAATAATAGTTTCCATGATAAAGTCATCTTCAAGATCATCTGCAGATTTATGCTTATACTGATTATCAGTATTACATATAAAGCCTTTCATTCTTGCTAATCTATCAGCCTCGAGTTTTTCTAATTTCTCTTTCTCTTCTTGAATAATTTCTTCCTCTGATTTCAGTTTCTCAGATGGATTACCCCTAGCTTCAAATATTAATTGTCGTACAGCAATATCATAAGTATCAGTTTTCGTTGTTTCATCAATATCTTCTTTAGACTTTTTGGAAGCAGACATAAAAGGTAAGAGATCTTTCCATTCAGAATCGAGTTTCTCTGTGAGATCAATTGTTTGCTCGCGTATTTTTTGTTTCTCTGCCTTTCGTTTCTTTGATTCTGCAATAAGTTGATCAATTAGACTTTTCCTAGATAATGTGGAATCTGCTTTTAATAAAGTGCCTCCGCCAAAATGAGCTTCTTCTACAAAATTTTTATCCAGCTTGCCACTAATATTTTCATTGTCACTAAATTCATCGTCGCTTCTAGGATCATCAAATTTCTCAATCTCTTCAAGAGTTTGTCCTCTATGTGTTAACACTTCGTCATTTAAATTAAAAATGCTTTCCTTTTTATATGCTTTTATACGTTCCATGGTAAACCTTGCCATCGCTTTATCTTCAGTGCTCATAGCATCATTCTTTTCACCAATACGTTTGTCCAAAAAAACATTATCTTTATTTTGTAATTTATATTCTTGAAGAAGGCTCTGCTTACGTCTGTTAATAGCTTTTGCCCTTGAAACTCCTGGAAGTCCACGGTCATTTTTACTCTTTTGACCTAATACTTTCTGTTTGTCTCTATTAATATGTACCTCAAACGGATTTAGCTGTTTCTTATTTTTCTGCTGTACAGATTCGGACAAGTTCTTTTTCTTAGGTTTGACCATTTTGTATAATAGCTATGCGTAATAATATCATTTATTGTATAAAAATTGAAGCAAAACGATTTAATTTCGTGCTATTTACGTTGACATATATATTATTTTCAAATGTTATCAGAACATAACCTCAATTGCGGTGCTAAATATAAAACAATATACGTCCAGTGTCATAAAATTTTTATAAACAATGTCTTATCATAAATATTTTGGTACTTACTGTAACACTGTAAACTTTTATAATATATTAAAGACAATTTTTCGTCAAATTTATTTGCAACAATTCGTACATGCACTCACACGTGGACGTACATAACCTACGTAATGTCGCACACTTTTTATTGCTGCACTAGAACTGCACTAGAACTGAACTGAACTGGACAAAGTGCAAGCAAGGACGTAGTGCAAACAGCCAATGGGTGCTTTCCATTTAGTGACACAAGCCGACACTAAAGTCCTAGATTATCAGGGGTGCGTTCCAAAATCTAACCTTAGTTACTGTAGATCCAAAACATGGATCAGAATCTATGGATGGAGCCATGGTGGAAGGGATAGCATGGTGGGCTCAGTTTGCAAGCGTCTCTCTCTAATTCTTTGCCCTCTCGCTTGTTTTCTGACCGTTCAAAACATTGTTGGCCAACCTCAAAAAATAAAATATTTTACTCTGCAAAGTTGTTACGACTGAGATGGTTGTCTTCATTGCACGCACGTTTATATTCTATCAGTCTCTTTTTATTTTATACTATAGTTCGGATCATGAATGTACTATACATAATTGATTGTATCTATCGTATAACCCGGTAAAAAATTGTTTATACAAGAACATATATAGATATATATAAACATATAAAAATATATAATTATATACGAAATATGTTCATACAAATCCATATATATATATATATATA